AGAGGAGATGTGGCAGTGCTTCGGAGCAGGGAGAAGCTCCAGGAGCTGAATTCCCACAGGGAGGGGACAGGGGAGCAGAGGGATTGTCCATGGCAGAGCTGTCCCTCTGTCCCGGGCCGTGGGAACGCCGCAGCCTCGGGGCAGCGGGGCTGGGGGCTCTGCTGTGTTCCCACACTCTGCTCCCAGCCCCGGGCTGTTTGCAGCTCCAGGCCCGGCTCCAGCAGCCCTGCTGAGCCACAGCTGCTCCCTGGGATGGCCATCTGTCCTCAGGTGACAGCCAGACTGTGTGTGGCCTCTCCCAGCTCCTGGGAGGGCTGTATCTCCCTGGAATGACAGCCAGACCTCGTGTGGCAGCTCCTGGCATGGCCATCCCTGCTCAGGGTGACAGCCAGACCTCGTGTGGCCTCTCCCAGCTCCTGGGATGGCCATCTCTCCTTGGGGTGACTACTGGACCTTGTGGGATGGCCATCACTGCTCAGGTGACACCAAATCTGGTGTGGCAGCTCCTGGTCCCTTGAATGTCTATCCTTCCTTGGGTAACAGCCAAATCTGGTGTGACAGCTCCTGGTCCCCTGGATGTCCATCCCTCCAGCTCCCCTGGATGTCCATCCCTCCTCAGGTCCTCTGGATGTCCATCCTCCTCAAGTCCTCTGGATGTCCATCCCTCCTGGTCCCCTGGATGTCCATCCCTCCATGTCCCCTGGATGTCCATCCCTCCAGGTCCCCTGGATGTCCATCCCTCCAAGTCCCCTGGATGTCCATCCCTCCTGGTCCCCTGGATGTCCATCCCTCCTGGTCCCCTGGATGTCCATCCCTCCTGATCCCCTGGATGTCCATCCCTCCTGATCCCCTGGATGTCCATCCCTCCAAGTCCCCTGGATGTCCATCCCTCCTGGTCCCCTGGATGTCCATCCCTCTGGGTCCCCTGGATGTCCATCCCTCCAGGTCCCCTGGATGTCCATCCCTCCAGGTCCCCTGGATGTCCATCCCTCCGGGTCCCCTGGATGTCCATCCCTCCTGGTCTCCTGGATGTCCATCCCTCCGGGTCCCCTGGATGTCCATCCCTCCTGGGGTGACAGCCAGACCTTGCCCAGCAGCTCCCAGCTCCTCCCTGGAGCAGCCCAGCCCTGCAGCGAGCTCATTCCCTGGGAGCCTCTGGCAGTGCACAGACCACGTCAATAAATATAAAAAAATCCCCAAACCCTTGGTTTTATGATGCTGATGGCCTCAGGGCTCCGTGCTGCTTGCACAGTCCACAGGATGGTTTTTCCATGCCCGTGTCCTTGGCTTCCCCAGGCAGGAATGTGGTGACGTCTGGGCAGTGACAAAGAAGCTGTCATTGAGAAAAGGTGTTTTCTGCTGGCTGCCAGCTGGAATTCCTGCCTGGATCCGAGGCAGTGGGATGAGATCTCGGTGACTCAGCCCTGAGTCAGCTCCCAGGCAGCTTGGATGCTGCATTCCAGCATCCTGCACTTCTGGCCCTGCTCCAAGGAGGAGGAGGCTGGACCTCTGGGACACACAGCAGGGAAAAATCGGAGCATCTTCCAGGCAGATTCTTGGGATTCTGGGTTGAACCTGGGAGCCTGGCTGGTCTGGGAGCACCACCTGCCCAGGCAGGCGCCATCCCCATGCTCCTAGGGGATGTGTTCACAGAATCCACAGAATCACAGAATTCACAGAATCAGAGAATTCAGAGGATCACAGAATCACAGAATTCACAGAATCACAGAATTCACAGGATCAGAGAATTCACAGAATCAGAGAATTCAGAGGATCACAGAATCACAGAATTCACAGAATCACAGAATTCACAGAATCAGAGAATTCACAGAATCACAGATTCAGAGAATCACAGAATCACAGAATTCACAGAATCAGAGAATTCACAGAATCACAGAATTCACAGAATCACGGAATTCACAGAATCACAGAACTCACAGAATTCACAGAATTCACAGAATCACAGAATTCACAGAATTCAGAGAATCACAGAATTCACAGAATCAGAGAATTCACAGAATCAGAGAATTCAGAGAATCACAGAATCACAGAATCAGAATTCACAGAATCACAGAATTCACAGAATTCAGAGAATCACAGAATTCACAGGATCACAGAATGACAGAATTCAGAGAATCACAGAATTCACAAATCAGAGAATTCACAAAATTCAGAGAATCATAGAATTCACAGGATCACAAAATTCACAGAATCACAGAATTCACAGAAACAGAGAATTCACAGAATCACAGAACTCACAGAATTCACAGAATCACAGAATTCACAGAATTCAGAGAATCACAGAATTCACAGGATCACAAAATTCACAGAATCACAGAATTCACAGGATCCCTGGGTTGGAAGAGACCTCCAAGCCCATCGAGTCCAACCCAGCCCCA